GTGTTGAAATAGATCTTATGATTTCGATCTTTATATCGACTATAATAGTCAATAACCACTAAAAGATGATGATCTCCGCTCGGCAGTGGACCCAAAAAATCAACGGCTGAATCGACCCAGGCTTTCGAAGAGAGTTCGCGCCTTTTCATAGGTACTAGTATTGGGTGCCGAGACTAAATTACAACCTCTGCAGCTTTTTACGGTATTTCCAGCGTCTTTGTCTATTTTTGGCCACCATACTTTTATGCGCAGCCTAGCTTTCATATTGACTATACCAGGATGACTTTCATGGGTCACTGCTAAAACTTGTTTCCTCAACTTAGTAGGAATCACCATTTTATTTCCTCTCAACAAGACGTCCTCGTGTAACCAGAGTTCATATTCAAATAAGTTATAGTTATTTATTGAAGCATCCCAAACATTGTACGTCAAAGCATCTTTAAAAAAATTAATTAGTCACTAACTTTATGCTAAAGTTAACTTTTATTTATCTTACAAAAATTATTATCTATCTTTTGTTCGTTAAACTTATTTTTGTTATTTTTGTTACAACTACCATTAAAATAGGCAAATTATAAACACTGTTTTAGAAAGATGTGTTCTCCTATAATTGGTAGTACATAGTAATTTGTAGATGTAAGGCATGTATTAGAAGTAATTTAATATGTACAACTGTTGGAGATCCATACAAATAAATAAATGAATAAATGACCAGGACGAAACCCAGACTCAACCAACCCAGACAAACAGAGATATATACTCAGTAGGTTATATTTCAAAATATGTTTTTTAATTTGAATAAAATTTACAGTCTATAAACTTCTTACTACTGGACGAACGCTAAATTCTGCATTACATTGGTGCCATTATAGGACTTTGACACTTTTCAAAATTACCATTCAAATTCAACCACCTGAATCAATCAACATCAATCAAATCCCCACCCTCCGATGAAAATATTAAAAAAAAACACAAAGAGCCTGTTTTCGATCTGTGAACAAAAGAAAGTAGTCAGCTCTAGTAATATAATTGTCAAAAGTTAACAAGCATTCGTCCCATTGTATGGCATATTTCTGCTTGAAACTAAATTAAACTAAAAATATCTTATAAATTTTTATCTATAGTTAAATAACTATCGTCATTGGGTATATATTACCAAAGTTGCCACGCTTGGCGAGCGGATTAGCAATCACTGTTTTTTTATTTTGCTGTTATTAGAAATATACGGCTGCCCAACTCCTGCCTTAGTTTCCCACTCTATGCTCAGGCTGTAATGATGATAATTACAACTATGATAAAAAAATATATAGTATAAGTATAGGATGCATAAATCTGAATTAACTAAAGACGGAAATCACTAATGATAATAATACGTAAATAAAACTCAATAGCAAATGAATAAGATACGTCGGAGAGATTGACGTCAAGTAAAGCGCGTTCAATAAATTACGTATCAGAAAAAATTACTGATTCAGTTGTAATTGAAAAATGAATTTATTTGGTCTTTCCTTTCTTAAAATTCCTTCTTAATCTTAATTCTTAGATGGATCAATCAATTGGCAAATATAATGAAAATGTTTCATACCTTACTTATATAAGAAAAATAATGCACAGTCCGCATGATAATAAGTGGATGCTGTAGCTCATAAACATATACACTCACCATACGAAACACAGCAGTATTAAGCTCATATTTTACGTTTATATTCTGTGAGAGCGTGTTCCTCCCTCGGTCAAGCCGACCCATTCGTGCTACAAACATAATACAGCTGCAGCCTGGCTCTACAATGTAAAAATAAGGTTTTCATGTTAAACAAGTTTTTCATTTCAATATAATAATCGACCATGTAAAACCTCGCATGGGTAATGCTGATTCACATCATCAGTACAATTATGGGGCTGTTTGTGGAATAGTTTTAGATCAAGATTGAAGTGCGCCTGAAAATTAAAACTGTTTATCGTACTTAGCTTGCAGGGAGATAGATGTTCATTTAACAAGGTGTGACCCACTTTTATATATTTCACGTGTATGTTATCTATTTTTTATGAAAGAAAGATTGGCAAACAAGAAAAAAGTCCAACTAATGGTAAGTATATACCGTGACTCATACACAGCTATATCTATCCTCGATTAAAAATCAAAATGAAAATGTGTTGTCACCACAAAGAACTAAGATTATCAGTAAAAAGGATCAAGTTATTTTCAATAAGAATACGAAACACTGCAGCATTTTGCTGCAACTCTGGTATTCTATGAGAGCATGGTCCTTCCCCGGTCGTGCTGACCCATCCGTGCTGAAGTCATAATACAACTAACGTAGCTCCACAACGTAAAATAATGTTTACATATTTACCAAGTTTTTGAGTCTCATTAAATAATTAAAATATATTCACCTTTATTTCATGGAACCAATTAATAGTAGTCTTATTGATTAGGGCCGAAAATTCATCAAAGTACTCGTATTTCGTCGTTTAACGGACGAAGAAACTTTGTAAATTATTTTCAATTTGACAGGTTATAGACTATAATGGTATCTGTTTTAATTTACTGCTTCTTAATTTATGATATTAATTATACGTTTTTAATTAAAATTAATACTCTATAATACAAATAGTTAAATTAAAAAAAATATTTATTACTGTCATGTATCTATCTATGTGATGATGATCTATCTATGTAACGGAATCTTTTAATGTTAATTTCAGCAACTCGTAGACGGCCGATTGACTTGTAAATTTTCACTCGTATCAAGGACCGATAAATATACTATTACTTTACAAATTCATCCCAGTATCCTAATTAGGATCACCAGAATAAAATAAAATAATTATCAAGATCACCGCAGCTCATGATCAATGCATGTTGTTAATATCTTCGTATATTATTATCTAAAAAATAAGCATCAAATTTTAGTTATCAAAGTGTTAGTAAAAAAATTGTGTGTTATATGTGAACGAATTCATACGAAGCACTCAAAGTGCAATTATGTTGAACTTCCTGGGCGATAATATTCTTTTAAAGTGAAATTTTAAAACTAGTAATCCGCATTTTTACATAGCTTTGTGAACAATTTCTACGTAATACGAATGTAATTATTTACGATTGTCAGGTATTAAAACATAATAAAGACGGCTCCGTGGCGCAGTGGCTTAGCAATCAGTTGTTGCGCTGGGGGCCGCGGGTTCGAATCTCGCACGGAACAAGTATTTGTATGGCCTACAAATAATTGTTCCGGATCTGGATGTTTGTCCTTGTGTTGACCTCTGGACACACCAGTAAAACGTGGGTCGCCATTTCCTCCTCCCTCATTAATGCCCTGCCTAGGGCACTGTCTGCTATAACTTTGGTGAATAAATGTTTGTTAAAAGTACCGTACCCTGTATCATTCTTTGCTCTCCTAATCTGTGATTAATTAAGTCTCAAAATACAGCTTTGAAATGTATGCTCACACATTTCAAAGCTGTATTTTGACCAGTCGAGACCAGATGCAATATCCAGACATCGGCAATAAACAATCAGTAAGAATTCAGAATATACAGCCTTTGTCCATCGCTAGTGCGTCGTTTATTAAAAGCAACTACCATCATAAAGCTCAAATGTAATTAATGGAAATAATTAAGCTAATTACCGTCGAATAATACGCGTTCTATAAATTACAGATGAGAGTAAATTACTAAATCAATTGAAATTTAAATGAGGCTAAATAGTTAATTGAATTAACTTGGTTTAAATGTATGGGTACGACATATCTTTTAGTTATATGTTATAAGTATTGTTACGAGCATGGGGTTAGAGACAATTAAATACTGCCGATTGAATTACCAAAATTGACACTAATTACAGAACACTAATTACAACTTAAAACCACACTAATAAAACACAATTGTACTACTAATCACTTTTATATTGTTCGCTTTTATCTCCAATTCAATAGTGAGTCGGTCGTGGTCTATACCGACCTTATATAGGGCCTCAGATTTCAGAACCTTCTACTGTAGAAACATCTAGAATGTTCGAGTACATATCGGTCCCAAAATTTCTAGAAGGATTTTAACTCTCCTAGTTCTGCTACTCGATACTAGAGGGTGCTAGTGGTAACTAGTGTTGCCATGTACAAGGCATTAATAGTGGCGCGCAACACTGTCCCCTCCTAAGACATGCTCGTCCCGAGCATTATTGGCCCCATAATAACGCGCGAGTCGATCCACATGGACGATCTAGGTATATATATGATCTGGATAGCAGTACCTCTGGCACCTTTCTGTATCCGGTAGGTTACGTTATTGATCCTTGTCACAATCCGGTACGGTCCGTCCCATTTAGCTTGAAGCTTAGAAGATTTCCCTTTGCAAATGTGTTGTGTAACCACACTAGTGAACCTTCGTCAAACCCTATGTTGTTTAGTTTGCGGTCATACCGTGTTTTCATCGTCTCACACGTTTGCTGGCCCGCCGGTCTGACGTGCTCATAAATGTCATTCATTTTGTTCCGCAAGTAATTTGCATAATCGGCATCAGGTGGTATTCCGGTGATCAGGCAGCCGTAATTCTCTCCAAAAGTTTGCGAAAGCTGGTGTCACTTAAGTACTTTCGTGAACAGCGCTTCGGTATGACAACAAAAAGGGTTGTATGTGCCTGTCCCAGTCTCGTTGCCGTTTTTACAAAACATTTTCTAGGTACCTCTCCAATGTCTTATTATGTCGTTCTACCATTTAATCAGATTGTGGGTGGTAAAAAGTTGTTCTTGTTTTATGATACCCATAACTCGTCAAGTTTCCTGGAATATTTGAGACTTAAAATTCCTTCCTTGATCGCTGGGAATCTCCAAAGGTTCTCCAAAACGACCGAAGACAGCGCTTCAAAAAAAAAGGCGAAGCTTCTTGATTTTGAATTGCGAAGACTTCTGGCCACTTAGTGAAGTAATCCATCACAACTATGAAATGTTTGTTACCATTTTCATTTTCTGGAAATGGTTCCGCAACGTCAATGGCTATCCTCTCCTATGTTAGTTTAAGGTCCTCGACATCGTCAGGACAGTACACCAAATAAAACCGTTCTCGGATCTTCAGTAGAGTTTGTTTAACTCCCAGGTGGCCTCTTGAACAACCATTATGGTACAGCTGTAGAACATCCGGTACTTTAGCCTTAGGGACAACCATTTGCAAATGACAACTGTCTCCCCGACCATTTTCCAATTTAAGGCACAGGACTCCATACTGAATCAGCAAGCTGTCCCATTGGGCCCAATACCTTTTCGTGGTCGAACTCATTGCTGAGACGTCGCTCCACTTGGGCTTAGTAACACTGGCCTTCATCCATTCCAGAATCGGCTTGATGTCCGAATCTTCCTGCTGTGCATATTGTAGGCTGTCCTTCCACTTATTGCTGAGCTGGTCTGTCCTGAGCGTCCTCAAACATACCACTTTCTTGCCTAGTATAATGCTTGCAATCTTCAGGGCAAGGTCTTCTTGACAATGCATCTGCATTGCTATGAGATTTCCCGCTGCGATGTTCGATCACAAAGTCGTATTCCTGTAGTAGTTCAATCCATCTCACAACTTGTGCTTCCGGATTTTTGAACTGCAATAGCCATTTCAGTGCAGCATGGTCAGTTCGTAAGTGAAATTTCCGCCCCAGAAGAAATTTGCTAAAATGCTGCAAGTACTTTACCACAGCAAGCAATTCCCGTCTTGTGACACAATACGAGTAGTTCCTTTCCGGCTTTGACAATGACTTGCTGAAGTACGCTATCACAACCTCTTGATCACCATTCCGTTAAGACAATACACCGCCAAGTCCTATATCACTTGCGTCTGTGTAAACCATAAATTCCTTGCCCGTATCAGGGTACCGCAAAATAAGTGTTTTGCACAGACGTCTCTTGAGCTCCTGGAATGCGATATCGCAACTTTATCCCAGCAGAAATGTCGCTTCTCCTCGGTTAGCTTGTTCAGAGGTTTGGCTATATCTGCAAAGTTCTTCACAAATCGCCGATAATAAGAGCACAAACCCAGTAATGCTCTAACCTGTGTCTTTTCTTTTGGAACCGGCCAATCCTTGACAGCAGCAATTTTCTCTGGATCCGTGCGGATACCTTCTTCCGACACTACATACCCCAAAAAGTTAACTTGCCGTTTAAATACTGAGTATTTCTTCAGACTTAACTTGAGGTTGGCACTGTGGATCTTCACGAGCACGCGTTCCAGGTTTTGAAGGTGTTCCTCAAACGTACGGCCTACGATGATGATGTCATCCAAGTAGACAAGACAGGCACCGCCAATTAGCACGGTAAGTACAAGCTCCCTCAACCTTTTAAACGTTGCTGGAGCATTGCACAATCCAAACGGCATGACTTTAAATTGCCTTAGGCCCTTTACTGTGCAGAATGTAGTTTTTCCTTGTCCTTAAGGTCAATTTCAACCTGCCAGTAGCCACTTTTTAGGTCCAGCGTACTAAACCACTTAACACAAAATCGCATGCTGCCGTCCTTCTTCTTTACCAGCACCACAGGTGAACACCATGGACTAGATGAAGGTTCAATAACACCATCCTTCACCATTCCCTCAATCATGGTTTCCACTTCCTTTTCACGTGCTACAGGAAATCTTCTTGGCTGCTGACAGATAGGCAATTCTTCTCCTGTGTTTATTTTGTGTTGAACTAAGCCCGTCTTTCCTATGTCAGCATCGTTTGACGATAAAACATCGGCGTACTTGAGTAACAACTTCTTCGCCTTGACCATTTCTAAAAGTGTGGTCACTCGTTTGTCCATCCTTGCTGGGGGTCCCAGTCGATAGATATTGGCACCGACGCAACCAATCCACTTTTTCACTAGTACAAATCAATGTGCCTTTTCCTGATCACAAAGGTTCAGCACACGTACTCCTGAGATGTCGGCGGTTCTGACCAAGGTTCGAGCCACTTTCCATGCAAGGTCATTATCTACCCTTTCTACGAGTACGCAACGAAGAGTTTGCCCAGGATTCCTAGAAAACTAAACGGCACAATCGTTTCCGACCTCAGCGGAAGAACAAATTCTTAAGAATGTACACATTCCCTGGTAACGCCCCTACCAAGAAAAGTTCTTCTTGTCCACATATCAAAACACCTTGCTTAACGTCGATCTCACAACAATTCTTCCTCATAAAGGCTAGGTAGGACGCAGTCGTCATTATATCAGCCACGATGATATTATGCAGGTAGATCATGTTGCCTAGCTTCAACTCCATCTCCTTCTCTTCACAGACGCGTATGCGCTGACCGATGGCTGTTACCAAATTAATGCGTTCTCGGTTGTTTGCGGAGTCCCCAAGGAACTGACTTATAAGTTGAGAACTAACAACCTTGCGAGAGGCTCCAGTGTCTGTGGTCAGTTTACATGGCGTTCCGATGTCCTTGATGATAAGGTTGTTCCCATCATATGTTTGTGAGATCGAAATCCTTGCGGCTCTTTTAACATCAGCCAGTACCTGCCCCGCAGTCCTGGCTTTTACTCGTTTCCCTGCTGCATCTGGGCGGTGCTGTTAGGCGCACTACCCTTTCGAGATTGATCACCTTCACTTTGTACATTTCGCTTAGGGCAGCTGGATCGAAGATGGGCCCTTTCCCCATAGCCGTAGCACCTAGAGCTGTATCCTTTATTGTTGTCGCCAACTGTAGCTGCTGCAACCTCCCTGACTCGATAGGAACGATGATCCTGTCGCCCAGCTTCCACATCCAGTGCATGGGGCAACGCTTCCTTAAGCGTCTCGTGATGCCTGAGCCTCACAGCAACTCTGACTTCAAGGTCACGGATGCCATCGATGAATGTCTGCACCAGTTTCCCTACAATGAGCACAGGTACGCGATCTTTGAGCTACGCACGAAAGACGAGTCCCCACGCCACTATAGCGGCGATAAGACCCCTCTTTGAGGAGTGGCTTGAGAGACGCCACGGCGTCCTCACCTTCCGCCTGACACAGGTCCTCACCGGACATGGTGTGTTCGGGAGGTTCCTACACCGAATCGGGCGGGAGGAAACGCCCGGGTGCTCCCACTGCGAGGATCGACCGGAGGACACGGTGGAGCACACCGTGGAGGTGTGCCCTGCCTGGGCGGAGCACCGCCGTGTCCTCGTAGCGGCGATAGGCGGCGGCGACCTCTCGCGTCCGGCCCTGGTCGAAGCCATGGTCTGGAGCGAGACGGAATGGGATGCCGTCACCACCTTCTGCGAAGCAGTGATGCTAGCGAAGGAGGTGGCGGAGCGGGAGAAGGAGAGAGCAGCAGCTTTCCTTCCCGGCCGCCTCGGGAGACGCCCCGGGCGTCGGGGGCTACGTCGTGGCCCCCGGCCACCGTAGGCGCGGGCCTGTGGACGGCGAGCAATGGGTAGCTCGCCGTCCGTCCGTCTAACGACGACAGGCCGTGTCGATGGCGCGTTTTGTTCCACGCGCGCCTCAAAGAGCTGTCAGCAGCGTGAAGGGGCCCGCAAGGGCCGACGCCTGCCGGGGCTGTGGGCTGTTCGTAAGAGATACCGCGGCTCCGGAACGTAAGGGCACTGAAGGAACACGGATGGTTTTTAGTCAGTAAAAGTCTGACACTCCCTTCCGCTCCACCCAGAGCGAAAGACGTCATTTGATGATTTTCCATCCACAAAAAAAAAAAAAGGTGAGCGTCGCCGAATCTCGCGTTCAATGCCTCAAGGAGCTACTCGTAAGTCTCTTCCTTACCGAGATCTTCCAGAACATTTAAGGCCTGTTGACGGAGGCCTAGAGTAAGAGCAGTCATAGCCTGACTTTTATTGCAGCCGTTCGCCTTCATGATAGCCTCGAACTTGAATTTGTAGGCCGACCAGGAAGAAGTCCCGTTGAACGGCAGCACTTTGAATCCACGAAGCGAAGGTGTTGTAGCTACCACGGGAGCTGTAACTCTACCCCCACGTTGTCAGCCATCACGTTGCTAACCCGACTGTATACTTGGTTGATTCGGGTTTCGGCTTCCAACAGGCGGTTGTCATGTTGAACAACCCTATCCTTCACCACACATATCTCTTTCCCAAGTAGCATGAAGGTCCTTCATAAGGAGCATCTGCTCTTCCTTATCGCGTTTGAGCTGCTCTTCTAAACAACAGGTCTGTTCCGCCTGTCTGCGCTGCAGCTGCTCTTCCAACCGAAGGGCCTGTTCCTCCTGTCGGCAGGCCTGTTCCTCCTGTCGGCGGGCCTGTTCCTCTTGTCGGCGAGCCTGCTCCTGGAGCATCATCATCAGACCACCTAAGTCAGGTGCTGCAGATGCAGGAGCTGCTGACGGGCCAGCCTCCGTGGTCAGCAGCTGGCCCTCTGACGTTTGACAAATCGTCTCTGGTCCGTCTCCAGCTGCCGACTTCGGGTACGGATACCCTCCATGACGTCCTTTGGTAAAATCGACATCCCTTAATACGTATGAATTATTGAGTTTCATGATAACAATTAAAATTAATACAAAAATGCAGCTGCCAACTATCCTTACCTTATAAGGCTATGTTCAGTAATTATAACTCATCTTACGAAACACGATAGCATTAAGCTGCTATTTAACGCTGATATTTTGTAAGAGCGTGGTCCTTCGCCGGTCAAAGTGACCCAATCGTGCTACAACTGTATACTGTAGATGCAGCATGGCTTTCCCACGTATAAAATAAAAAAATATTAGTACTTAAATGAAATTTTCGCAGTTTTGATACCTGTTTTTTATAATTATTAAATGAGTCTTTGCATTTTAAGTAAAATTAATTGTAAGCCACCATTACTTGACACGTCCGTTTTTATTATCTATCTATACTTATAATAAAGCGGAAGAGTTTGTTTGTTTTTTGTTTGTTTAAACGCTCTAATCTCTGGAACTACCGGTCAGATTTGAAAAATTCTTTTTGTATATAATAGTAAGATTCTTGAGAAATAGTATAGGCTATCTAGCATTAGCCTACAACTCTCAGCTAGTCTTAAATATTGATTTTTGTTAAGCAAGTCGGAAGAAAAGGCGCTCTCTAACTGCTTTATCCGCGTGCGCTGGCGTAACCTTCAGTAATACACGGTATAATTTAACGGTGGTAGAGCCACGCAGCAGGTTTTGCTGTTGCAAGTATGGGCCGGCTCGAGCCGGGTTAGTACCACGACCTCACAGAATACCGGCGTGAAGTGGAAGCTCTGCTTCCGCGTTTCGTCTGGTGAGTACAGGTGATCGGAGGCCCAATTCCCCCCCCCCCCCTCCAACAACATGGTAGCGGAATTACGTCATAAACTACCCCAGGAGGGTACCAGTACCCCTGGAGAATCCCTCGCTGAGCATCCACGACCATGCCATTCCACTCCTAAGCGTATTCTGGGGGGGGCAAAATTCCGCTCAACACAATAACTGCTCGGGGCAAACTGAGCAACAAGACCAAGGCGACCCCTGCCACGCTCTCCGTGAATTTCTGCAACATCAGGGGACTTCACTCGAACCTAAACGCCGTCCACTACCATCTTGAGACGGCGAAGCCAGCCTTACTCTTTTTGACCGAGACGCAGGTGTCCTCTCCGGCTGATACTTCGTATTTCTCCTGCCCGGGGTACAAATTGGAGCACTCCTTTGTGCCTCGGGCTGGAGTTTGCGTGGTTGTCAGAGAGGACATCTGTTCTCGACGCCTCGGCAGTCTTGAAGGTTCGAACCTGTCCATCCTTTAGCTACGCGTAGACAGCGACGACCATACGCGCGTCTACGTGTGCCTCTATAGGTCCCATAGCGGTAATGCCGAAACAGACTGACTCATTGACCACGTCCAAATGGCTACAGATTCCTTGCTACAACAGGTCCCATCCGCAGAGATCGTGATCCTTGGCGATTTTAACGCCCACCATGCCGAATGGCTCGGTTCACGTCTAACCGATCATGCGGGGAGATCTGTTTATGACTTTGCCTTGGCATATGGTCTGACACAACTGGTTACTTCGCCTACGCGGATTCCAGATGTGGAGGATCATACACCTTCCCTGTTAGACCTTCTGCTGACCTCTCATCCGGACGGATATCAGGTTTCCGTCGATGCCCCTCTTGGCTCTTCGGACCATTGTCTGATCCGGAGTGTGGTGTCACTCACGCTCCCCTCGCGGTTGCGTTCTGCAGGTTGCCGCCGTGTTTGGCATTACAGGTCGGCGGATTGGGACGGAATGCGGTCTTTCTTTGCTTCCTACCCATGGGGGCGGGTTTGCTTCTCGCCGGATGATCCCAGCGCTGTTGCTGACTCTGTCACTGATGTGGTGCTACAGGGAATGGAACTATTTATTCCATCATCTGTGGTACCCATCGGAGGCAGATCTCAGCCTTGGTTTGGTCGCTCCTGTAAGACTGCTTTACGCAG